CAGCCCACTGCCCCCATCATATGTAAATAGAAATTGAGAAGAGATACTCAATTACTCATATTTATATATATACATATATCTTTTTTATGAAAAATGCAACAATTTATTTTTGAGATAGAATTTTTATTGAAACTTTTTATTTTTCTAAACCAACACTTAGTAAGGTGTTTTAGGTTACTTACACTCCATATTATTTTAAATATGTTTATTTCAACAATCTCAAAATTAATAATTTTTTCACAAAAAAAAAATATTTATTTCTAACATTGAATTTAATTTGGACTCCAATTTAATAAAATATAAAATAAAAATACAATACAAATATATAATAAAAAAAATTTATTTTCTGTAATAATTTTACACATTTATCTACAAATTTACTTATTAATTTAATATATAATTTTTGTAGTTACAATTAATATTAAAATAAGTTGTATAATAGGTCTAATACTTTTATTTTTAATAAATTGAGTAAGTGGGTATTTATTTATAGTTTATGAATCTTCATATGTACGTGTGTGTATATGTATATGTATATATATATATATATTTGGAAATAATCCCCATGCACCCTATCTTCTCAAGGTATTTATTTATAGTTTACGAATCTTCATATGTACGTGTGTGTATATGTATATATATTTTATACACCGCGTTATTATTAAACACATCAAATTAAACATGAATGTTGACTCAATGAAAATAAGACACGTGTCCATTCACATGGTATTTCTATTAAGGATATTTCTCTCTCCTCAAGGTCAACTCCATGTCAACGTGGGTCAACCTGGTTCCATAACCAGAGGCCATCTTCTCAAAATGAGAGCTGAAGAAGAGTAGAGAGTGACTCAGTCGTCAATGGCCGCATCTGCGTTGATTCAACCACTTCTTCTTCTTCTTCTGTGCTTCATCTTCTGTACTCCTTCTTTGTGTTGCGTTCCACATCAGAAGGAAGCTCTTCTTCAGTTCAAACATCTGGTAGCCGCAAACTACTCCACTGACGACGCATTGCTCTCTTCGCGGAATGCGACTTCCGATTGCTGTCAATGGGAGCGAGTAGCTTGTGATTCCTCTTCACAGCAGGTGACTGCTCTTCATCTCAACTCTCTTCTTCCTTTTCCCCTAAATGCTGTATTCACAGCTGCTGTTTTGGCTCCTCTCTTTCGTTTGGAATCTCTCCTGCATCTTGATGTTTCTGATAATATGTTATGGGGTGAAATTTCGGGACTTGCTTTTTCAAACTTAACCAGACTTGTATACCTAAATCTCACTCGCAATAACTTTTATGGCTCTATTGACTCCGAATTGTTTCGATTGAGCAACTTGGAGTTTCTTGATCTTGGCTTGAATTTGATTGAGGGGATGATAAGCAATGAGCTTGGTAATCTTAGCAAATTGAAACTTTTATACTTGCATTACAATGATTTGCATGGAGAGATTCCTGAGGAGATTGGGAACCTCACTGAATTGCGGGAGCTTTCAGTTCGCATGAACAGATTATCTGGAGCAATGCCATATTCAGTTGTGCATTTGACTAAGCTGGAAAACCTGTATCTTCGAGATAATTTACTCTGCCGGCAGATACCAGTTGAGATTGGGAACTTGCTGAACCTCTCAACTCTGAGACTCAGTGGGAATCAGTTAACAGGTGGAATCCCAAAATCCGTTCAAAAGATGAGCAAGTTGGTTACACTTGAGCTTCAGAACAATTTGTTGACGGGGTTGATTCCTGAGTGGATGTTCAATATGGAAAATTTGAATTATCTGGATGTTGGGAAAAACAAGCTTACCTGGAAAATTACGAGCACAAATCCAAAGAGCATGTTTTCTTACTTGTCTCTGAGGTCTTGCAATGCTTCTGGTCATATTCCCACCTGGTTTACAAGTCAGACGAACCTTAAGTTCCTTGATTTGGCTGAGAATAGGCTCCGGGGAGCATTTCCTCCGTGGCTTGTAGGACTAAATCTCCATGTAATAAGTTTACATCATAATTTACTTGCAGGACCTCTGCCTTCTATTTTGTTTCAGTCTCACAAGTTAGAATATCTTGATTTATCCAACAATAATTTCTCAGGACAGTTGCCTGTTAACATTAGTGAAGATGCTGCAATATCCGTGCTTAAGTTGTCTGCAAACAATTTATCTGGGCCTCTCCCTAGATCTTTCTCCAATCTAAATCAGCTATCACAGATTGATTTGTCTGCAAATAGGTTCTCTGGTAGGATTCCTGGTACTTTTGGGCCAAAATTAGAAATGCTTGTGCTAAGTGAGAATGAGTTTTCTGGTCACTTGTCCCAGAGTCTAGTAAACTTGAGGCAGCTTAAACAACTTGATCTCCATGACAACCGTATCACAGGAGAAATTCCAGAATTTCTTTCACGGATATCCTCTCTTTGTGTTTTGAATCTTAGAAATAATTCTCTCACAGGCTCAATCCCATGTCATCTGTCAACCCTTGATAATCTTCAGATCCTCGATCTCTCTTCCAATAACCTTCATGGACAAATCCCTTCTTGCCTTGGAAACTTTTCAGGGATTATGAATATGCCAAAAGACAATATGACCCTCCTTTCCATCACTGAAAACCTAAACTACTTCATACACCATGACTTAGAAGTATATTGGAAGAAGTTAAAGCTACATCTCCCTGGTGGAAACCTCGACTTATACACCTTGTTAGACTTTTCAAATAACCAATTATCAGGTGAAATTCCAGATACATTAGGTCATCTAAAATATCTCAAGGCATTAAATCTTTCACACAACCAGCTTTCAGGCAATATTCCATTGACTATTGGTAATTTGAAAAGCATAGAGATTTTAGATTTAGCACACAACAATCTGTCTGGCAAAATACCGCAATCATTTTCAGAGCTTGAAGAACTAAATAATTTGGACTTGAGCAATAACAAGCTTACTGGTCGCATTCCAGATGGTCCTCAAATGAACAGGTTGAATGATCCAGAATGTTACGCCAACAACAGCGGATTGTGTGGCCATCAAATCGAAAAACCATGTAGCGAATCATTGATAAAGCCTAAGCCAAAGGAAACGAGGAACAGGGAATCATGGTTTTCATGGGAAATGGCATGGGTTGGATTTCCTGTAGGTTTCTTGTCAACACTTGTGGGTGCTTATGTAAAAAGTTGGTTTCTTTCACATTGCAGCAGTCCAACATGAACGATCTCATGCTGATCAATGGAGTTAATCAACTTAGTAAGTTGTAATATAGATAGAAGTTGTAGGAAAACTTGCTCATTTTCTCTTATGGGTCATTAAATCGTTTAAACTATTGATGAAATTGTACATAGTTGAAAGGAGACTCTTTCCAGATTGTGAATTGCTAGCGGTTACATATATTTCATGTTTGTTCACCCTGGTACTACCTTTTGGTTTCTGCTATTAAAATTTTGAAGTTTCCTGTTGAGAGTGTTAAATTTTCTCCATTATACTACTGCTCTACTATCACTAGTCTCAACCAGGAAACTAACTCAACAAATATTTGAGCCTATAAAACAATTTCCAGTTAAGCCCCATTTCTTCTGCATAACTGGTATCTGGAGGCGAGTCAGGCTATATTAATTTTGTTTTGGAAATTCTATGGTAGAAAACGGAAGGCGACATACCTTCACTTACTTCTACCATTGGATCTCTCAAACTATTTATTTGAAATAGTCATGAACAATCTTCTACTTACATTACCAGTTTATTACAACTCAGTTGTTTCCATTTCCTCTCATTTCTCCTTAATTGTGTCAGTCCATTGGCCTTTGTCGAAGAAATTAACGAGTCCAGAATAGTTCGGCACTCTTAACTATTGCTTTGATTCAAGCATATGTTATTGCCCTCATTTTTTAATGCTATATTTCTTTATGAGCTGAAACAGTTTTTCATATCAGATTTTCATGCTTAGTTCATAGCTGCAAGCTGTAGTCTCAAGATGATGCAATATTTGTAAGAATTTGGACAAAAACACAAGGAAATTTTAATTTTGATGGTGTACTAATCAATCTCGATCCCCTGGATATACTTTTATGAACAGAAATTTTCTTTATCGACCTCAAAGTTGAGAGATGGAGATCGTTTTTTCAATAGAATGAAGGAATTTACTATGGTTTTAGTCACCAAACTTTCTTGACAAGTTCACACTCCCTAAATTTCTATTCAAACCAAATGTAAAGGACAATTTGATTCGATCAAGTCAATTAAGATGTCTGTGATTAGGGTTGAGTATTCATCGATTAAAACCAATTAAACTTATAAAATGAAGTTTTTTTTTTTTTTTCAAAATTAGTTCCGTAAATTGTTTTGAATCAATTTCTTTAGTTTTGATAGGTGTTTTAAATCGATTCATACACGATAATTAGTCAATCCAAGTCGATTTGTGTTTGCAAGTTTTGGTTTTTCAATTTTCAAAAATTTTGACTTGAAAAAATTGGAATAATCAATTGCATCCTACTTCTAAATTTTATTTTTAAAAAGAATTTCAAAGATCAAACTGATAAAATAATAAATGAAACATGGAAGGTGATTAAAAATGGATTAACACTAAAATAAATATGATACTTACAAAACCTTTACTAAGACTTTAAGCTCGATAGTCTTGTATAAGTAGGTTTGCATTAGCTAACTCACAAGGAAAAATAAAATCTTAAAATGACACATTTTAATTATAAATATGATATTTACTTACATAAAATTTCAAGAAAATCTTGAATTCAAGCTCACTCAACCAATGTACGAGAAAACATTATTTGAATCCTCGAAATTAAAGAGATATTTTACAATAATAATTACTCCTGATGAAAGTCGAAAATGAATATTTGATGTATCTCTTAATTTTCTCTCTCGAGTCGATAGTTTCTTCGAAAAATATTAATATCTTATAAAAACATAACTTTCTCTAATAACATATTAACTATCACGATATCAGATATTGTTATTCGTTCGCAAATTTTCTTGAAATTATTTATTTTTACGTCACTAATTTAACGAAATCTATATACAAGTAGACGATTTTTGATATTCATGAATATAAAATTAGATTATCTTTCATTACTTATAACAAAAACATAAAAATTCTAAAGATATCAAAATGAAATTCCCCTCAAGGGCTACATTAGGATGTAGAGGAGACCAAATTTGAAGCTTTTGCAAAATATTACAATACCAAATGATTAGGTATTCATGTAAAATAAATTTTTTTTTTTAGGGTGATACAACCATAAAAAATAATTAAATAAATATGTATATATATATAATAAAATAAACAAATTTTATAAAAAAAAATGAAGTGGCAATACGGTATACATATATATGTATGTAAAAACGAGAATATAAATATAAATAATAAAAAAGAGTGAGGGTATAAATAGAAAAAAAAAACTATCCTAACCACACAAAACCGTAGATTCGATAGTTTGAAAAAATAAGAAAAATAGTATTTTTGATAGTCATGCAATAACTACTAAAAAATTATACCGCGTGTTTAAAAATACAAACAAATAAGGTAAAATCATGAAATTACTGTACCACACATTAATAAATCATCGTTCAAACACACCGTAAAAGCTAATTGAGCTATTTTTATTGTAATTTTGATTAAAATAAAAAATAAAAAGCTAAAAAAAGTTCGAGTCATCTATACAAGTTAATAACTAAATATGAAACTATTTTGTCAAACTTAAAAATTCTAGTTTACTGGAATTATGTAAAATTAGATTCTCAACATTCAAGTAATTCTCTCTGTCGATAATTCTTTTAAATATAAATGAATTTACTTAAATTTTAAAATATTTTTATAATTTCAATTATAATAATTATATTTTTTAGTAAATTGATAAAAATGAATCATATTTTTAAATATAGTGTTAGATTATTAATATTGTCAATTTTACAATATTTGATATATATATATATATATATAAAACTAAATGAATCATATTATTATTATTATTAAATTAGTTCATATGTCTCAATTTGATGATACTATTTTTAGTATATTATTTTAAAAAATTTTGTATATCAAATTTTTTGTCATTTAACTGATAGCATTTATTAAAAACATTAGAAAACAATTTAAATACACACATATATATATAAACTTTTTATCGAATAA